AATATTTTAACAACAAAATATGGATAATGTATTTTCTTTTTGTAAATTACTCAAAAATTTAAAAACATACATTTACATATATTTTTACATATATTGAAATTTTGTTAATAAATGAATATTTTTTATATTCTATGAATCATTAAATTTTTAATGAATCACTAGAGTTATTAAAAATACATCTAAATCAAGTCTAAATTTATTTATCTATATAAAATATTAATATATTTAACTTTTTTCGATTCTAAAAACAAAAATAAACATTAAAGTTGGCATATAAAAATCTCGGTTGTGTTTTATTTATTAAGTTATTAGCAATTTAAATTTAGTTTAAATGAAATGGGACAGAGACGAAGATAGAGAAATGCTGATTAAGCTTATCTCGTACAAGTTTTAGAAAACTTTAAGGATCACTGTGCTCCATTGAGTAATTCCATATTTTTTTGTATAGAAAAATTTGTTTAAGAATATTTTTGTTCTTTAATTTCAAATCATTAAAATAAATTTCAAACAAAATTTTTAATTTTTGTCTTATTTTGTGTTATTTTGTGTTATGTATTAATAAAAAATTATTTTTCAACAATTTTCATTTTACAATAATAATAAAAGAATAAATAAATTTTATAAAAGTTTTTTTCTTTCCTATTTGACATGAAACCAATTATATGATTAATTATTAATGCAAATTTAGATTTTTATGAATCATAATTACAGAAATAATACTAAAATAAAGATACATTTCACTCTTCATATATCATAATATGTAAATTGTTTTGAATATTTTATATATTTTTGGATTATACATATTCTATAGATTTTTATACATTTAAATTTTCCATAATTGCATAAACATTCGCAATCTACTTGTGATTTTTAATATTCTAATTTACTGATAAAAAGTTTTAATTATAATTCATGAATAAAATACATAAATTTTTTGAACGACATAACAACAAGATTAGAAATTTGATAGATCAAAATACTGGAATAGCATAATATATACTTATTTATATGTATTTTACGTGGAATTGTTACGTAATTTCTTCGCCTACTGAAACGAAGTAGAATCTATTCCTCTATAAACATTATTATACATTATTGCACATGTGGATAACATTAATAATGAAAAAGAAAATTTTCTGAACAAGATTTCATCAGAAGTTTCATGAAGTGAAGAAATTTTAATAGAAGCAATAGCATACGAAATAAGGTCTATTACGACCTTACTTTGTACATAATTAATATACACGTTCTTACATGACTATTATATATGACGTATTCTATTCCAATCTTTAAACACAATTATATTTCAAACTAAAATGATGATTTGAAAAAATGTTTTAAGTAAAGCTTATATAGTTTCAAAGATTATTTTATGATGATCATAAATCTGTTTTAAGTAAACGTGCTTTTATAATTTGAAAATAATCTTTACTTTTTTCAAATATAAGAATATAATTTTTAATGTTATTAGTTATTAGTTTAAAAGATATTTTAAAACTTAGAAATTTTTAAAAGAATAGTAGTATAGTGAATGAAAAAAAAATGTATAAAGCAATTTCTTTCAACTTTCATGTTTTTTTCATTTTCTTATACATTAATTCATTTCTTATACATTAATGAATTTTACAAAATTCAATTTAAAATATTTTGTAAATCAATGATTTTTTTTATATGGATTAATGTCTTTTCATAAAGAATGTCATAAAGAATAAGGAGATAATGAAAATAAGAGTGTTAAAAATTATTCTATTTAACAAAAGAAAAACTTACATTGAAATTTTAGAAGCATATTCATTTAAAAGAAATTGAGATTATTATAATAATAAGATGTTCTTCTTGAAATAATACAAATTCTATTTGAAACTACCTATAGTTTAAAAAATACACATTGTAAAGTGTCCCAAAAGTCAACCGACAATATTTAACTAATTCCTGAGGTGATTTCAAGCAATTATTTGTGAAAATTTTCATTTTGACTTTAATAACGAGTTTTTAATGAAAAACACTGGTCAATTACAAACCGTACGTAGAGTTATTATTGTAGTGTTGGATATGTGCTGCCAACAAGTTGTCAGACTTGAACAAACAATGAAAGTAATGAATGTTGAAGCAAATATATCGAATAATTATTAGATAAAAGTTATATAGCATTATATCTTATTGACGAAAATGAGTTAATTAGCTTCGAGCGATATATGTTGCTTCGAGCAATATACTTGTTTATTTAAACAGATATCCAATACTATCCTAGTAATAAATATTTCTAATGATTAATATTTTTCACTAAATAATTTATTAATAAACGAAAAAACATTTTTTAATTTTAAAAAATTGTTTAAAATTATTTCAAGAATCACCAGTTAAGTCTTGTCAATCAAGATTGATTTTTGGGACATCCTGTATATTCTCATCAAGGAATATGTTTTTTGATTAAGAATAATAATTAATACTCACTTTATAAATTTATTTTTTTTAACATTACTTTAATAAATTTTTAATATATTTTTCTTAAATATTTCTTTTTCCATTTAATTGTAAATTAAACATAATTATAATATTATTGAGAAAATGAAAATATTTAATAATATTATAATAAATAATATTTTTCTTTAAAAAATATTCATAATATGTATTTTATATGTTTATAACACATCTTAATATCTTAATATAACAGTAAATTATTCTACTTACGTCTTTCAATAAATAATATTGTACGTTATTATTATTTATTACACTTAATACATTAATACAGATTTATATTAGATTATTAAAACATTATTGACATTTCCTTACAATATAAGCGATTAATTATCAATATTATACGTGTAAGTATCAATATTATACGTGTTTTTCAATTATAATATTTATTTTTCTGTATCCTAAAACATATTGTTAAATATTAGATAACTTATAGACGAAGATGCATGTATATTACACATATGCATAAAATAATATAGGATCGAATGTAATATATTAAATTCCAATAATAATTTTCATTAATTCGAAAGGTATCATAGCCATGATCACAATTTTAGTATAAAATGATAGAAAATTATGATTAAAATACAATATATTTGTTTACATCAAATACATAAATTTATAATTTATATATAAATATAAATACACAATAATCATGAAAGAAAAATTGTTCAATATCCTAAAGTAATTTTCCATTGGTGTTTTAAAATTTAAAATATTATATAATTATTAATTTATATAATTTTAAATGCTTGTGATGTAAATATTTCCTATGCAAATAGAAGTTTTTTCTTTTTTCTTATCTTTAAGCTTCCGTGGATTATCTGGATTATTATATGCTGAAAAAAAATTTCATTTTTAAATTTCTTCGAAAGGATTCTTGTTTTTGTTGATAAATATTTCAAACATTTTATTGAACAATTAAAATTGTATAATGAAATAAGAGCTTCGATAATATTTTAGATTTTTTAAAAGTCTAGAACAGTAAGAAAAAATAGTTATGAATATAAACGATCCACGTTATTCACGGAAAATAAAAAAAAAAAGGTTTGCCCTAGGGATTAATCTTTCTACATGTTTTATTTAGCGTTTTTATACAGCTCGTTAATCAAAATTTGCAATTTAAGATGAAAAGCATGGACGATTAAAATCGAAAGTTACATTATAATTAATAAAATATTTTACAAAGAATATTAGTATCTTGTTTGTCTATTGTTTTGATTTTGAGCATAAAAATTAGGGCATAGAATCTATAAAAAAGTAAATCTATAAAAAATTATAGAATCTATAAAAAAGTAATTTATGTATTATTAAAAATAACATGTACATTTTATTATATTTCAATTGTGATATAAAATAATCTTTAATTTGGAAAAAATCTTATTATTTTTAATTATTTTTATCTTTTTAATATAAATACAAATATTTTATTTTTTATTTATACTATATACTATATACTGATTTAATTTATTTTATTAAATATTTTTATTCATTGATTTAATTTTTTAAAATTAAAATTGAATTATACTAATAATTCTATGTAGATGATAATATTTTTAATTCCGAATTTTTAATAATTTTATTTGTTTTTAATTTATCATAAGGCAGATTAATAAATAATTTTGGCCCAATTTCAAATTTCAGATAAATATATAAGATTTATATATTATAAATATTTCTCTTATACGTGTCTTTGAGTTATCATATTTCAAAGTCAGAATATTGTTTCCAACTTCCATTTTATAAATTTATCGTATCATATTATCATTTTCTAAGTTATCATATTTCAAAATCAGATTATTTTTTTCAATCTCATTTTATAAATTTGAATATACAATTACGAAAATATAACAAATTATTTGATTAATATTTTATATTACAATTCCAGTTTAAAACATTATATTCTATTATATTCTATTAAGAGAAAATAAGCATTTAATTTTCCTTTGTTATTTTATTTTCAAAATACGTGAATTATATTTTTTTTTCTTTTTTTAATTTTGTAAGATTAATTTTTCAATGCAATCAAATAGAAATGAGACTATCGATGATATTTCACAGCGATAAATCGGTACATTTATGTGTATATATTTTGAATAGCGAGATTACACTCACGTGTATTATATCTTTAAATAGAAGCTGTCAAATCGCATGCGCATGTCGCTCGTTTATCTCGGATTTAACTTTACAATCGAAAATATACAAAAAATAAGTGTATCTGTATAAATAAAAGATTTGTTTGTTTCGTTGCTTAGCGACTAATTTAATATGTAAGAAACATGTCATTTTCTCTTTTCATCAAATTCCTCTTTTAAAATTTGAAACGTCATCTTGTCTGAATATTTCTTTTTATGTTAGTCACTAAATTCTTCTTTTAAAATTTGAAAAAATTTTATCTTGTCTATTTCATTTTATTTTATTTGGTAACATATTACATTCGTTAATATACATACGTACGAAAAATGTGGATTTTATTTGTTAATTAATTTTCTGTTATTTTTTAGTGTACATGTCACATGATCATGGATCAATTTCCGAAAAATTTTCGTCCCTTTCACCCCAAGGATCCGCCTAGTGGTACGTTAAATTACGATCTTGGAGCTTTAAGTAAACATCAGAAAAGTAGTTTAAATTCGAGAAAAACTATTGAGATAAGAAGAAACGAAATGTATTTAAAAAATCACCCAGAGATCAAAGGATTAATTTCAATTTTACTGAGGTAAGCTATTTCTTCTCTATTTACAATTTTACAAATAAAATTTTACAAATATGTATTTTTCGTGCTATAAATAATTTACAAATATAACTTGCATTTTAAAATAAATAGGTATTTGAATCTAATACGAATAATTAAAAATTTTTATAGAAATGTATTACGTAAACATTGCTCGACGAATGTTCACGAAATTATAGGCGAGTTTTTCAACAGACCACGTCATCAAATAGTTTTAGATCTTCTACGCTATTTCTTGTCTACTGAACAAGAATCTATAGACAAAAATGTATTTCAAGGATTAACAAATGTTCAAGTGGATGAAAAAAAAATTTCGTGTTGCAACGTATAACAGGCGTATACTTATAGGCGTATATTCAAATATTATTACAAACTATAATATTGTCAACTACATTTTCATTATTAACGTCTTGTATATTTTTTTTATTGAAAATTATTTGATTTGATTTATCGTTATGCAAAACATGTTTATATAGTAAATTTATAAATCATATTGAAGTTATCACATGTTGCATATATGTGAATCAATTGTACCACACATAACAATAAACGTAAGAAATATTAATAAAGAGTTTTGCTTACGTGTAATAATAAACTTATACATACATACATATACACACACATATATGTATATATATATATATATATATGTATAGTTGAATAAAATTTCATAAAAATCTAGATTAAACATATTTTACTTTAAATAAGAATATAAATATAATGATACAATTATTTTAAATACTTTATTATTTTTATTTTACGAATAATACATGAAAAGTAATTTTATTTTATATTTTATTCAAATAAATTATTTTAAAATAATTTCTTATTTCAAAGAGTTGATCCAAATAAAATAAAAAATAATTTGACATAAGATATTAAATTATTTAATTTAACTGAGAATATAGGAATATTTAATAATTATCTTAAAAAGAATTCGATAATTTATCGACTTTTTCGCATTATTTTTACATATCTACTTGTTCTTTAATAATATTATTTATATGCATAAGATATTATATAAAAATTATTTCAGACATATATAAAAGATAGAGATAACAGATATAAAAGTATTTCAGACAATTGACGATAAAATTAGAAAAATTATTAAATAATTTATTCGAAAAAATAATTGATCAAATAAAATAAAAAATTTCAAACAAAATTCAAATAACGAAATAATCTAGAGAAAAATTATTTGTTAATTATATTCGAATAAACTATGAATATTTCATATAATAAACAATCAGATAAAATTATATATTATTTTAATGATTATTTTTCAAATAATTTGTTTGAATATATTTATCCAAATCTGATATTAAATATTATGCTCAAATGTGTTCAATATAGAATTTTTGATTATTTAAATAAAGACATTCATCTTAATATGTTTTTCTATTAATAACTAAATACTAAATATATAATATTAATTAATTAAAAAACTAATAATATAATATAATAATAGTAACTAACATCATAATTTTGATAATATAGGAAAAGATTAATGTTATATATATAATTTGTAAGAAAAAAAATATTTATAGAAATTATGATATAATTTATCAAAAAGCATTGGATAAATACAAAATTAAATTATAAATTTTTTTCGTATATCTATATTTCTATATATATGTCATATAAAATGGATAGTATACATATAGTATAAATATACCTAGATTCCTCTATAATGGATGATACGTTTCGTGTTATATGAAACCCTGTTATATAAGTCACTTAAATTATACAAATATAGTTTATGTATATAAAAACACATAAAAAATATAATATAAAATATATATAAAATAAATATTTAAGATGAAAGAATATAATATTTTTCATTTCTTTTTTAAACAAATATTAAAATTAAAAAATTTTTATTTGTCTTATGTGAAATAAAATAAGTAGTTATATTTTTATTGACATTTATTTATAATTAAATTCCGACGTCTTCTTTTAAACGTTGACTATGTTATTTCATAACTTGTTTCGTCACTATTATTTTAAATGTTTTGAAATGTTTTTTTTTTGCATTTTTATAGATGTTATTATTATTATTTTTCAAATCTTTTTTCTTCAAGACAAATTAAACAATCTTTCAATTTTTTCTTAAATTCGTCAGAATTCTTGATTGATCATTATTCGTAAAATGTTCTAATTTCAACATTTCTAAAATAAAATGTTTTGATTCATTGAAAATTTGAGTAATAAATTTTTTTATTTGGCGATTCTGCTATTTGTACTTGTTCTTGTTAATCTAAATCTTGATTATTATCAATTAATTCAACGTTTTTCTCATCGACAAATCCTTTTTTATCTTCTATCTATAAAATATAGGCAATATTTATTATACGATTTATTTCTGTTATCATGGATATTAAACAATTTTTATTAACAATTATTAACAATTTATTAATAATTTTAAGCCATTTCTCTCTAAGTATTCAAAATCGAAGATTTGAATTCCTTCAAGATGACAAAATAATTTTCAATTTAAAATTGAAAAATCATTCTATAATTGCATATTATGATAGTATTTGGATTACAACTAATTTTTTCTAAAATTAATTCAAATGGATATTGTATGTAATAAAATTTATTAAAGATTTTTATTATTCTTTGGTCCAATTAATATTATAGAATTGATAGTGATAAAAATATGATTCAAATTTTCTTGGTATTCTAATTGGCATTATCGATAATTAACAAAATTTTGAAACTGATACTTTTTTTTTTTTTTTTTGTAATAATCTTCTATTTCTGACATAAAGCAATTGTAAAATCAATATCTTTTTATTTGATTACCAATGAAAATAAAAATGAAACTTATCAACTTTTATTACTATAGGTTTATCAATTAACATGGATTTTGTAATCGCTATCTTGATGCATTTGAACATAAAAGTAAAATGATCTATTTTTAGAAGACTTAAATCAGAAGCAAATTTTTCATTTTTCAAAATGAATAAGTACATTTGGATATTTTCTTCCAATATAACACAAATGAGTGAACATTATATTTTTTAATTATTTGCAATAATTTCCTTCTTCTATAATTTTGACTACATTTTTTTAGAATCTCTAGGCTGCTTCTCTATCGATTGAGAAGCGCTTTCTTCCACAATTTTAATATTGTATAAAAATATTGTATAAAAATCAATTCCTAAATCTGTTAAATTAACTTTAAATTGTGTTCATATGATTCATTAAAAAAAACGAATTTTAACTTTTTTACATGCTGATAAATTTTCAATACCGTTAACTATTCAAAGCCGTATTCTTTGACTAAAAATTTTTTATCCGTAATATCAAACGTTTTTTTCATTTTATATATTAAAGTGTCTTTTATACGTGCAAATTTATTTAAAGATTTAGAAGAAATTCTAATTCTTATTTTATTTTTATTTCTTTTTATTGTTCGAATTATTGCCTTGTTTAATTTTAAATTCTTAGCAATGTTATTTTCTCGTCAAATTTTAATTTATTCAAAATTATAATTTTTTCTTCAAAAAAAATATATTTTTTGTTCTTAAAATTTTTCTTCATAATAGAACTTGTGGTTAAAAAAAAACAAATTTTATATAAATTAAAAATTACTGAAAAATTAAATTTACATAAATATTAATATAATATAATATAGTATAAATATAAATTATATATGTTAATATTTTTTTTAAATTTATTTAAATTTATTTAAATATTTGACTTTAAATATAGCTTAATTGATAATTTATATCAGAAATAATAAAGATAATATTTTGTCTGTAATATATTTTATTGACATTGATTGCCATATTTCAGTCATATATTCAACTTGTTTGTAATCAATAATAGAGTTATTTCGAGGTAGATGCACTATTGGTTGAGATGCATTGTTTTTTGTCATGGTTGGATGGTTAGCTTTTTTCCATGAAACATTTTCATATATTGTCCGTTGTGTTACATACATAGTAAAGACAAAAAAAAAAAAAAAATAGAAGTAGAAAGAAGAGCATATAAAAAAAAGGTTAAGGTTGAAAAAAGTGTATTCAACCTTAGCTTTTAAGGACATATATTTTTTAAACTTTCTTAAAAATCATATTAAAATATTAAAATAGTTTTATACACTTGATGTTATGTTTTGTTAAATATATGTACTGTGTCATAGAATTATTGTTGTAATTTTTTCGCCGTGTTATAGGAATCCGTGTTATATGAACCCGTGTTATAAGGGGATCTACTGTATTCTGTTCCTGAGAAGCATCAACTGAGAAACCAAAGGCCGAGAACCGAAGCGGTTCCGAAAATGAACGAGAATACTCGAAAATAGCCGAAGTGCCGCGTGGTACTCCAAAAGAATTGCTGCACCCTCAGTTGTGACTGGATCGTCGCGATGAGTTGATCATTTATTAAAGAGGTGTATTAATTTAAAATTGAATTTTTATATTTTATTATTATAATTGTGCATATAATTTTCATATTCTTGATAAATAACGCAAACCCTTTTAAATTAAAGATGGCAAATACAATGACAAGTGTGGATAATTGTTCGAGATATAGAGAAACGACGCATAGCTTGACAGTCGGTCACGAAGCGATCGATTTTGAAAGGAACGCCGTTCTTCAAAAAGACGGAATAAATCGATCGTACTTCAACATTAGGGAATAAAACAAGACAAAGCAAATGGATACCTAATACGAAATACATGAAATCAGTGATTATACGTTTATCAGTGGCAATGAGGACGCGCAGATCGATCAAAGAATTAGAATAGTTCTTTCTCTCTTTCTCTCTCTTTCCCTTTATATCTTTACCTTTCTTCCTTTGCATCTCTCTTTGAAAGAGAATGAAAGTGTACTAGAAGAACGTGACATCCAGTGCATTACTCGTGATTTCGTTTTCTTTTACGTGATTCGTGTATTACGTGTGCTTACGAACGCGTGTATGTGCGTTTTCTAATACGTGTATGCGCCTCTGCGTGTGCATGCGCGCGCGCGCGCGCGTGGTTCGGCGATGTCAGAAGTTCATCGTATGAAAGCAATTGTCGGTTTTGTTCGATAAGAATGGGGCTACTGGTGATCGACCGACCGGACGGTTAGTGCTTTAATGTTACATTATTTCACGTTACTACGAATATACGTGTATTAATCGTGAATATACGTGATATACACAACTTGTGTACGAATACACACAGGCATATAGTTACTGCGTGTGCGTGGGTGGGTATTGGATATAATGTGGGTGTGGGTGTGCGTTCCTTGTACGTATAGACGTACGCGTATTTTGTGGTAACGTGTAATGGCATGGAAATGAGGCGCGCGCGAGTGTCACGCCGAAAGATACGCCTCTCGCCTGGAAAGCTACTTTGTGCTCCAAACTCGAAAGGAGAATCCTCTCGCGAGTGGCCGCTCTTACCGGTTTAACCTCATCGACATCGAGAGTGCGTGTTTCTTGTGGTTTTGATTCTATTTATCCAAGTTTCGGATTCGTCTGTAATTTCGCATCCAATTTTGATCAGCATGCGTTAACATCAGGTTACCAAGATTGTAAAGGGTTTCGTTCGTGATTCACGACCTTCCCCAGAATCTTTGGGTACTCGAAAGAAAAATGCGCAACGAGTGGCTAAGAAACTTGTTCGCGACAGCAATTTTCGCCCTTATGGTACATGGTAAGTTGAATATTCTTCTTTTTAATCTTGTTCACTCTTATCATTATCTCTAAAACTATTAACACTTTTTTAATACTCATTTCACTTATTTTCATCGTTTTTTAAGCTAATAAAAAAAAAGTAGAGAATATAATTTATTATTTATTATCATAGTGAGATAAATAATTTGAGACATTATCGTACAAGAATACATTTTTTTTTATTTTTCTACTCATTAATTCTATTTATTATTTTTCTATTCAGAATTTAAAAAAAAATTAAAATTTTTTTATTTATTTATATTATATTGTATAAATATAATTGTATTATATGAAAAATTATTGATAAAATATTTGTATGAATATAATTTAATGCAACGAATCGATAAGTTCATAGTTTACTGAAAATGAGTTCAACTAAAGATATGTATTTCTTCTTTTACGACGTCTTGTTCTCGGACATGTGATAACAAATGAGCGCAGAAACTGACATAAATGGTAATGTTCGAAGAATTAAAGTCGAGGATAAATCTTTTGTTCACAAGTCGATTTCATTATATAAATGCTAAAAACAAAGGTCGTGAAACGAAATTGGAATGATAATAAATTATTAACGTCATGCTATGGAAAAATGAAATTAATTTTTAACAGATATGTAATAGAAATTATTTGAACATATCGATGAAGAATTACAATTTCTATTATTTATGTTCTTATTTTAAGTAAAATACATTATTATTATTATTGTTATTATTATTATTCCTTTCTTTGTTATTTTATCAATTTAATTTGAATTTCAACTAATATATATATGAATATATGGTACATTTTGTATGAATATTTTAATAATAAATTTTTTTAGAAATTTTATCAAAAAATATATTTCTTTTCGAGAAATTACTGAAAAAAAAAATTTAATCGTAATTTAATTTGATTCTATTTAATTAATATATTGAATAATCATGAATAATCGATGAATATTTATATAATGTAAACATTATTAAATAATTGTCAATATACAAGTATATAACCAATCGAAATATTTTGCATCTCTATAGTATATACATATAAATGAATGATGATAAAATTTCCGATGAGTTTTTTATATTTTGGAAAACGAAACGATTTTTATCTTCTGTAAATTCATTATCCATTGATCAGATTAATTAGATCTAGATTTTATTGAAAGATTTAAAACTCGTATATATCTAAGAAATTATATTTGAAATATATTTCTTTATATTCCTCAAATAAAAATATAATATTTTTAATATTGAAACACAATAAAATCATTCAAATTAATCTTAAAATTAAATCTTAAATCTTCCAATAATTTCAAATGTATTATTAAATGTATATATGTTATTGATAGAATTTTTATTTATTTTTGCATCTAATCCTATAGTGTATCTATATGAATAATTTTTTATGTTTTATTATATAAATTTTTATTAATTTTTCTTAATTATTTTTTTTTTTAATTCTTTTAAAATTTTGTTTTATTTTATTAAAGGTTATTATACTGTTACAATATATTTATCGAAAAACATTCAAAAAATTCAATCAATTCATCAAAATTCAATCAAAAAGGCCTGTATTCAAATAAGTATATAATTTTTTTTTTTCTAAGAATTAGAAAAGAATTAAAAATCTTAATGTTTTATACGATGAATTTAAATAAATACTGTTTCTTCCTAAGTTTGTCAATATTTGATAATAATGTAAAATAATATAAAATATATTGTAATAAATAATAAATATAAAATGTGTAAAAATATATTTTATTTAATATCGAATAAATCCTATGTATACGCATATAATTTAAAACCATAAATAGGCAATACATTCAAGAAAGGTTTTGCGTTGATTGTGCTCTAGTAAAAAGCATGCTTGGATGATAGACATTGGTTGGTCTATTTTTGTGGATGGAAAGTCTCGCGAAGATAGCCGAGTATAGCCGATGTGAAACGAAACTATTAGGTTATTCACAACACTTGGATAGAAATGACTAGCTATTCGAAGTAAATCTGTATAACAATGGGTATTTAATCTAATAAAATCGATTATGTGATTAATTAATCATTTAAAATGATGAAAAATATCTGTTTAAAGAATGCGAATAAACAAAATATAGTAGGCGTTTTGTAATTGATCGAAATAACCTATAGTGATATAGTGAAAATTGATTTTATTAAGCAGATTACGTATAAAAGTGTGTGATTTAATTTTCTTTGATGTAATATCAGTTTTTGATATTGCTTTGAGTGAGCATATAATTCTTCTAATGAATTTTTACTATGGAAATTAATAATGATAATTAAAAATATGTTAAATATTCGAATATTATATTTGTATTTTCTTATCTATATGTACATTATGTAATTATAAATGATTAAAATTAATTCTATTTTGTTATAAGAATAAGAATTATGTACATTGTATATTAAGATAGATTTACATACAATATATACAATATAGACACATATTTATCGATTATTAAATATAGAATACAAATTCAGATTGCATATATTGAAAAATTTCATTTTAAATATTTTTATATACTTAAACCAATTAATCATTATGCTGTTAATGTTTAATATGAAATACGTAAATAAAGAAAAATATAATATTTATATAATATAATATTTATATTTCATTTTTAATTTTCAAAAATATTAATAAAGAAAATAAAGAAACAAAAAATTTAAAATAAAGAAAAATAGAAATTACTTCTCATTTATTATTTTCATTTAATTAAAATAACTAATTACTTTAAATATATAATATATAATAATTGTAAAAATGCATTGAATCAACCATAAATTGTTGAAAATATCAATATAAATTAATAAAATATTTAATAGATATGTAAACATACATACGGAAAACATAAAAATTCGAAAATAAGTTAATTTTTTTATATTAATGGATATTATCTGTAAAATTGAAAACTTAAATCGTATTTTAGTCATGTAATATCTAAATTTATAATGATAAAATTATAATATTAATATTATATAAAATATTAAGATTTGTTTTATAATATGATATAAATATATTACTTAATTTGCAAATGTTTTGCAAATATTGATGAATTGCAAATAAAGATTAAAGAAAAATATATTATTAAATATATAAAAAATAACTAGCACATAATAACTAGCATATTAAATGTATTCTATAAATATCTATAATATATCTATAATATAAATATAATATATAATCTATAAATATAATATAATAAATAATATTTATATAATTATTTATTAATTTATTTATTGATAGTTATTATTAATATATTACTTTTATATCTATATATATATATATGAATGAAACGATAATAAAACAATAAAATAAATATCTTACATATTTTATATATAAACACTGAAATCGTAAAACATATAATTGTAAAAAATATAAAATTAAAGACGTTATGCAATAATAGCATTATCAATTCCAAAAATAATACAATCAATAATTTAAATTTCCCATAATTTTTTTCCATAATAATATAATAAATGCTATAAATATTTATTAATTGAATATTTATTAATTGAATCTCAAATATTGAATTGAATATCAACAACTAATCTGAAAACAAGTAACTTAAATAGATTAAACAACTTATAATAATTGTTGTTAATAAACAACAATTATTAACAATTAATAATAAAAAAATAAAAATGTGTAAAAAAAAATTATAATTTTGTATTTGATACATACTTTCATAAATATATCGATTTTTCCAATAACATATTGGAAAAATTTCTTAATTAACATATTTATCAAATATTTTTCAATTTTCCAAGATATATTAAAATATTTCAACTTCCATATATTCTTTCTAAATAAAATGTGAAAGTTTTATATATCAAATTTAATTTATTTTTCTTAACACACAAAGAAAATACATTGATACAAAATTTCAGTTTTTACATATTTCGAAATATTATATAGAATATTTTATGCAACAAAGACGGATCAAATCCTTTTTCTTAAGTATTATTCACTTTACTATGTATATATACATAAACATAAATTGATATATAGAATAGAATTATTGATAAAATTGATATAAATGAATATAATGAACAGAAACAAATAGAAAATTAGCGGTAATGGAAATAGAAGCCGATCATCGATTCTCTTCGAATAATAGGAAGCTGCTATTTTTTCCACAACTTTGGCCAGCCTTGCTCTGAAAGAACTCGAGTAGGGTGTGTCGGTCGAACCCTCTTCGAAGGTTCCGTGCGTCTTAGGTTTCCCTCACGTCTCAAGGAATTCAATGGTTATTCCCGTTTCGTCTTCTACCTTCCCCTCTTACAAGAATATCCTTCTTAGGGATCGAAAGTAATGAAACTGTTTCTTTCTTTCTTTCTTTCTTCTCTTCCCTCTTTCTTTTAATCCCTCTTTCTCTCACATACGAGGTCGCATACACGTGCATGGTAACTTTAGAAAATTTGAACTTATCGATTTCGCGAATATATATTTATTAATTATAAAAAATTATCGGTGAAATAAAAAATAATCAAATAACAAAAATGTTAATACAAGAACGTTTCAAAAAAACGTATAAAATGATTTTTCTCGCGAGAATTTTATCGGTTTATACCTTTGGAGACTTGCCAAATACACTTTGGTACTTCGTACGATGTGTTTTTCAACCTATCTTCTGTTCTTCTCCCTCGTCCTTTTTCGTTCGTCTCTAATTCCACTTTGACTTTTTTCTGAATTTTAATAATATCTACGCCATTTGTTCTCGAATTCCACATTTCGTTTTATCCATCCTTTTTATAAACAAGTTCAAAGAAAGACAATTTAAACAGCTTTAAAAATATACGTGAGGAATTTCGAAGAAAATAACGAAAGATGGTTAAATCGAAATGAATTAGAAAGAATGAAAGAAGAACGAGACGAGATGATAATTAATAGCGGTATCTATACATCAGTACTGTACTATCCACAATGAAAAAAGGAATCAAAAGAAGAGGGGAAAAGGAACAAGAAAAACATTGGGGAAAGGAATGTTCAGTTGACGAGGGTGGAAATGAAGGTAAACATAAGAGAGGAGGAAAAGAAAACAGAAGATATAGACGAGTCGCGAGAAGAAGAAAGTAGAGTAAAACGTTAATCATCGTGTAAGTAAATACATATGGTGTAAGTATAATGTAAGTGTAACGTATAAGGAGAGGATAAACGATTTACATAAGAAACGAAACGAAATGCGAAGGAAGGGAAATCCACAATGGGGGAAAACGACAAGAAGCAGAGCACAGCTGGCGGGGCCTTCTGAAGACGAGGGAACGAATAGAACTGAGAGAGCTGAAGCGCAACAGCGGCAAATCAATACTCACATTGCAGTCGTGAAGCCATAAGCCAAGTCATCGTGTGTGCGAGAACACCGTGCCTTAATCTCTCTATATTCTCTTCATAATTTATATATTATTGTTTATTTAGCCGTTATTGAAATTAATATTCACGAGAGTCTATTTCAAATTGTTGGACTACGAATATTGTATATATAATTTGAGAGTAAAACTATCAGAAGTTGTTCTCAAGAGTATTCCTCGCAAGTGGACATTGCATTTAAAGTGACCATCTAATAATAAAGTTACTGTCAGATAATGAAAATTAATATCGACTGTTTACGAGAAATACTCTGGAGAATTAGCCTCGAAAGTTTTACTCTCAAATGTATATGCACCTTTAGGTATAGTATTAATCATAGATCTATAATCTATACGCGTAAAAATATCACGTATTTAAATCATCAAAAAGTCGAATATGTGATTATTTAAGATCGACATAATACATATAAAAATATCATCGACAATTTTTTTCACGCGAATTCACGTCTCGTTTCTTAACTTACGTTTATTGTTTTATGGCACATAATTTAACGACGATGGAAACTTGAACGGGGATACTTACTTAACCTAATTGCTCGGAGCTAGGGAGATCGTGATATAGAAAAGAAGAAAGAGAAGTGGAGAAACGCGAGAAGAAATAATAATAAAATGAGGAGAAACGAAAAAATGAGGAGAAACGGAGAAGCAGAGAAGTGGATATGATAAAATACAAAAGAAATAAGAGTGACAGTGGGTTGGCAAGGCAGGTTGCTGAGATAGCTTGATTCGGAGAAGGTTAGGACTGAAATGAAACGAGATGCCTCGGGCCTACTGGGCGCAAGAACTGGGAGTTCGTTCACGTGCGCTCACGACTCTGTTCAACAGCGAAATATGAAAACTCCGGAGGCGATTTTAATTTAGCCACAATGTCTATTGTTTCCGAATACTGAGGCGAGAGGACAAAAGAAAAATGCGCGAACGTGTGTACGCGCATATACGTTTCGCTACATATACAAACACACTGTGAAAGACATTTATGGAGCGCGATAAAGATTAAGATATTGTAAAAGCATATGCCGAAACGAGAAAAACGAATCATTGTGTGAGAATCAAATGTTATTTTTTTATTATATAAAATTATTTTTACATATTACATTGTTTTATATATATATTTTTTTTTTCATATATATGATAATTTTCAGACCAAAAATGATATAAAACAAGGACTTGTATCTATAACATACAGCAATTTTTTTTTAAAAGAAAATCACGACATATAATTATATATCTATTAAAATTTTATATATTCTATACATATTTTTATATATAAATACATATTTATTAATATTTATATAATAGTAATATAATAATACAAAATTACTATTATATTTAAAATATATAACATTAATATTATAACTATTTTTATTTTTAAAGATATTTCTAAAAAAAATTTATTTAAACAAATAATAAACTGTAAAAAATATCAAAATATCTTATCATTTTAAATAAATAAAAATAATAAATAAAATAATTTTAAATAAATAATTATGATATATAATAAATTAACTAGTTTTAACATATATTTCGAAGTTAAAAAGATTGAGAAACACTGATATATAGTACTTAACAAAAGATTTATCTGAAAGATTCTTTCAATACATATAATTAATATAACCATTTTTTTATGTATGTATTTATGTATTATATATTATGTATTAATATTATATACATATTTTAATATATATAGATACACATACGAGCATATGAAGCATCATGTTCTTTCATATTATGTATTTTCCAATTTCACTTCAACATACTTCAATATACAAATATGTACATATATCATGCAATCACAATTAGTCACAGCCAAAAAAAACATTGAAAGAACAGATTTTTTAAAGATGAAAATTAGTTAATTGGTATGGCATAAGATGCTCATATCTCGGAATTTGAATGAATGTTCTAACAGATGTGAAATGTTTCTCAAGTAGTTCCGCTTCAGACGTTCATGTTCGAGTAGAATTTGCAGACTGCGCGAACCGATTGTAGATGTACTCATGGTCTATAGGTCGTATCTGTACGTTCCAAGAATATTTTAGAATCCCTCTAGCGATATCGGGATAGTTGAAATAGCTTCGTTCTAGTATGGAGTCTGAAGCAGGTAACATAAGCATATCTATCTTCATCGTGCAACCAACAATTTAGAAGCTATGTTATACGTTGTCGAATTACAACCGACCTAAATAAGCGCACGTTTGTAACTATGTATACGAGGTATACACCAAGATACATGTAACGAATACAAGTAGAATTTACTATAGAGTTTTACAGTCTTTTCTTGGTTAGAACCTTCTTTTCCTATCTTCAAATACTAATTCCCTATATAAGACGAAGAAAATTTGAAAAATTAGCGCTAGGAATACTTAACTAAGTTAACTGGCAAAAAGATATACGCATAGAATATAGCAATGCAATTATGTGAAAATAAATAAGTATTAAAAGTCATTGTCTAATGTCGCACATTAGCGCCCTCTAGAAAACACTTGGCGTCATAAGTTGGAAACCACTGTTATAGAATATTGCAATTCATATATTATAAGAAAAAGAATAAGTGTTAAAGATTAATAATTAATAAAATATGACAACAATATTTTCTGTGACAAAACACTTGGTGATCTCTAAGAGGAATGTGATTCATAATGATTGGGCTTAATATCACACAACAACGCCCCCTAGAAATCACTGCTGCAAAATATTATGATACAATTATATCAAATCAAATATCATTAATTTATATGATAATATGATAATAGATATGATAATAGCGCCCTCTTAAAAAATTTGACTTTCGACATCCAAGGGAGACTCACGCGTTGAGAATCACTGCTGTAAAATATAATAATGCAATTATATAAGAATAAATAAATGTTAAATATCATTATCTAAATACGATAATTGACAACAGCCGATTTTTCTTCGTAAATCATCGACGCGTGAAGCGATCTCTAAAGGAGCCCTGTTCCATAGATTGAGAATCACCGATGTAATACCACGGAAAAAGAAAGAAAGGAAGATTTTTGTTTCAAGTAACATGATGAATAGAAAATACAATAAAATCGAACGTAGAATTGATATTTTTTTCTCTCTTTCTATTTCGATTGCCTTTAATGCGAATTGAAATTCTGGTTTCAGGGCAATTGAGATCACCGCGTATAACGGAACATCCTTCGGATATAATCGTGGCCAAGAATGAACCGGTAACATTGAATTGCAAGGCGGAAGGTAAACCTCAACCCGTGATTGAATGGTATAAGGACGGTGAACTGGTTCAAACATCACCGGGAGATGCAAAATCTCATCGTGTTCTTCTTCCTACGGGGTCTCTATTTTTCTTAAGAGTAATGCACGGGAAAAAGGAGCAGGACGGAGGAGTTTATTGGTGCGTCGCGAGAAATCAAGCAGGCTCCGTTCCAAGTCGAAACGCAACCCTAACTGTTGCAGGTAAGTCTTTTCATTCTCTTCTGTTTGTTCCGCAGCAGGTATACAGTAGCTCACGAAAGTATTCTTATATTGTCTTACGAGGAAATTTGTTTAATTCGAAAATCGTGACTTTAAAAATTAATTCTTAAAAATTTGTAATAATGGATGTATAATGGATTTTGTAGCAAATTTTTTTTGAAAATCTTTTTGAGAAAGTGAAACTATCGCATTCTTTCAATATTTTTTAAAATAGCAATTTTTTATTTTTTATTTTTACAATAATAAAATAATATTTTTTATTTTTACAATAATAAAATAATATTTTTTATTTTTACAATGATAAAATATTAAAATTTAAACATTTTATTTTTTTTATATTTTATATTTTTATATATCACATTATTAAAAAGTAATATTTTAAAAAACGAAGAAAACATTGATTTAAATCTTTTAAGATGCAATTTTCTTTTAATTTTTTAATTTATTAATTTTTTTCTATTTTATTAACTTTTCTAATAAAAATACAATATTTAATTATAATTAGAGAAATAATAGACTAATTTTCAAAATTCAATTTTTGTTCCAACAAGCCATTAGAAAAATTGAAAAGCTTGATACAAATCCTTTGACTTTTTAATAAAATTATACTTGTGGTTACATATTTTTATATATTATTGATTAATTAGACAATTACAATTAGACAATTATACAACTTTTGGAAATAATGAATTATTGAAAAAAGATTTTGTAAGAATGAAAATTGATATGAAAACAATTAAAAAGTGAAGAATAAAATAGATAGAAATAACTTTGGATCCATCTTTTAAATCCGATCTTTGGAAAAAAAGAATCGATTATATCTAGGATTTAATTCAGATTTATATAATTTTCTATGACTTAAAATTTAGATTCATGCAACTTTTACATTAAAATCTTCAATTATACTAATAATCCCACAATAAAAATTAATTTGAGATATATTATACTATTAAGTCTCGAAAAAGTTAAGAAAATAATTGTAACTTTTTAAAATAATTCATTGTTAAAAAAATATTTGCATATATAATTGTAACATTTCTGTTTTAATTTTCTATTTGTAGAACTTAAGTCTAATTTTATTATTTACTATTTATTATTTACTATTTATTATTTTTTATTTATATAACATTCGAATAATTTTATGAGTATATATATGGATTATAAATGTGATATAAGTTCATATTTAAAAAAAATTGAAAAAATGAATAATTTATAGTTTATATAAAATATTTCATTTCTAATCTTAAAACTTTTATTTTTTTAAACTATATTTTTATTTTTTTAAATTATAGATCGTTTAAAAAAAATATTTTAAATAGAACTTAAAGTAACTGTTTTGAAGCAAATATTTTAAGATAATCATAAATCTACTTTAGGTAAACATACTTTAGAGATATCAAGGCGATTTTTATTTTTTTAAATGGAATTATATGTGCTAATCGATATATATAATTCCTTATTTCCTGCAAAAAATTTTGTAAAATCATTAGTTTAAATAGAGATAAATAGAGATTATAAATAAATTATATTTTATCTTGAATTTTATAAAACTTATCATATAAGAAACAAGATAAGAAAAGTATGAAATTATATATTATTTATTTATGTCTTATTCATTTTTTCTATTTTCAAATTCTACAAAAATTTTTTCGATAAAAATCGATTGAGTGTATTAAAAATTACTTAATTTCATTTCAAAAAACAAAGAACAGTCTGAAGTCTTTGTGAAGTATGTCTATCTAGAAAAGACTTGACCTTCGTGAAATCTTTTGAGATCAATTGAAACAGTGTAAGTCCCTTTTGAGACAGTGAAAATTCCATTTGAAATATTTTTTGAAACAACTTACAGTTTTGGAAATATATTTTGCATCTGAAGATTTAAATGGAATTATATTTTAAAATAATGGAATTCCATATGCTTTGATTAATTAAAAATTTACTTGTAAATGATGTTACATAATTTTGAAAATGGTGAAGAAAATCATTCTTCAAAATCTAAGAGAATATAATTAAAATTAACTAATAAAATTGTGGAATGTAAAAATCGATTAGATTTTTACATTGAACAACAAAATATAATTTAGAAAATAAAAAAATATAAGTATGTTAACAATAATAAATAAATATTAAAATTGACTAATAATATTTTATTTTTTATTAAACAAAATCATATTCATAGAAATAAATTTATAAAATATAAAATATTTTTGGAATAATAGAAATATAAGTTCTTAAAAATCTGGATAAAAGAAATAAATTTACATGATAAATTTTTTAAAAAATCCATATACAACGAAATGTAATTGGTAATAACCAGGCAAAAAGTGATTTCGTAAACAGTGACATGTAAAAATAAGACAAAGAAAGAAGAGTAAAATTTTTTTATTTAAAACTTCATTTTCCAATAAATTTAAAATTTGAAGTTTTTTCAAATATAAATGAAATTAACTAATTTTCAATCGGATATAATTGAATTATTAATAATAGATTAATCTATATGTGAAAAGTAAGAAATATAAAATTTTTTTATTTGAAAATTTTCAAGAAAATCAAATTTGAATATTCGTCGATTGTACAATTTATTGATTTTATATATATATATATATGTTTCAATTTCAATGTTTTAAAAGTAAAAATTCAAACAATAATATTTTATTCTATTACTTATCACTTTTGAATTATTTTCATTTTATTATTACCATATAAAATAATCTCCTATCGATAGTTCATTCATATTTAATCAGGAATTAATCAATTACATTTATATTAATTTAAAACAAGTTTTAAAAAATGCTTTACTCGATAAAAGAAAATAATATTGATCGTTCTTTTAATTCATTTTTATTTTTATATAAAATTATTTCCTTTGTTTTACTATTATCTCGTATAATAGATAATTATGAATAATATGATGTATTTGATCTTTATTACTTCCTTTCGAATGATCAATGATGCCACAAAATCAATGATTGAATCGTTTCAATATTTTCCGACAAGAAAAACGTATGTTGTGTATACATCGGTATGTCACAAATACATCTATATAAGCACATATTATTACGTACGTCTGTGTATGTAACACGAAGAAATTAAAATAGGCTTGATTTATACGAAATAAAGAGCAAGTCGATTACGTTCGAACAAACGTAGGGCGAAGCCGAGTTTGTTTAAGGCAGATCGATATTCAGGTGAAAGGAGAAGGGGGTAGGAAGAGAGAGGAGCAACCCTACCACATCGAATAGAACCTATCTTCTTACTGATATATCGTGATCGCTGAATCGACTTGCGATTTTGATACGTTTATCATTTTTCTTCCTCTTACATATGAATGTATCGAATTTCATATTAACCATTGCTTTTGTGTTTGGTTCATATGCATATATACATACATACATACATACATACATACATATATACGGATAATTAACGCTACAATAATAAATAATAAAAATAAGTAATATTGAAATGAGATTTGTTTAAAAAAATATAACATAGTAATTAAGTAATATCGTAGAAAAAGCAAAGATTAGAAATTAATAGAAAAATAAAAAGAAATGATAGTAGAAACAAGAATGGAAATGAGAACAAAAATAACAATTAAAAAACGTTTTATAAACAATTTAAAATAATCTTATGCTCACGTGGCTATTGTACGTGCAATTACAAGGTATACGTATATACACGCGCGCGCACATATACATAGATGTGCGAGCAAAGAAAGAGTGAGAGAAACGGAGGGGATGAAGGAGAAAAGAGAAGGAGAATAGAAATCGATACGGAGCTGTATCTACACCGAGCGTATGCTCGGCCAACAGGGTTCTGTGTTGTGCGACGTGATGCAGCATAGCTTGTCATGAGGTGGTAGTGTGCTGCATACAATACATGTGTTCACATGTACGTGATTTTTTTTAATGGAACGGATTATCTCATCTTTCTCGATTTTCTTTAATCTCTCCTAATTGCCGAAACAAATTCTTAATCGCGTTGTTAATGATTTTCTATCGTATCATGTAACACATGTATTATATATTTGTCCAAAATTACTGCATTTGTATTTTATTGATTTAAAATCAGTTTTATTTATCTTATTATTGATTTTAAATTAATTAGATCTATACATTATATATATATATATATATATATATTAAGTCTTTTTCTATATACTATATGTATAGTGCATTTTTGTTTATCTCTCGCTCTTTTTTTTTTCATATCAATGAGACGAATTAATAGGAAGACAATACAAATTATGATTATATTATATCCATTTTATCGTGTTAAATTTTATAATATAATTTTCTCAGAGAACATGCTTCGTTATTCACACTTTTGTTAGTTTTATTATTTTTATTAGAGAATATATTCGAATATTCTTTATTTTGCTATTTATTATTAAATTTTGTCGCATGAACCTGATATTCGAGGCTGGTAAAGATGGCGATAGCAATGGCCGTAGTCGCAAACGGCCGACAGTTATGGCCGACGACTATGAATAAGGCTTTGTGCTGCGAGTACACTGTTGAATCGACTCGCACCGAAATAAACTGGTCGAGATCCAAAAAAAGAAAAAAAGAGCAAAAAAAAAAAAAAATTAGAAAAGGAGAATAGGAAGTAGATAGAAAAAAAGATAGAAATAACATGTAGACGCATATGAAAAGAATACTGAAGATTCCAATCTTGATAATGCGATTATTTTATTCATTTTTATTTTCTATTTTGACAGCTTTATCTATTTTGATACTTACCATAATGATCAAACAATAAAAGGAAAAGAAAAAAAGAATTACCATACATACACACATTAATACATCTAAATCCTTTGGAGGATATGATATATCCAATATAACATATTTAATTCTAAAAAATGAAAAATAAATAAAAATTGGTGTATAAAAGTATTATAAGTAATTATCATTAAATTATAAGTTTACATTAATCAAAGTGAGACATAGATATAGCTCTATCTCCGTTATATAATCGTT